CATAAAGCCTTCCATTTGATATATAAGCAAATATTTTATATCACACACAGAATATCTAAGTTCAACCATATATGTAGCATCTTCTTTCCCAAAAATCCTTCGTGTATTAGCTTATTGATGGGTATATGCAAATCTGAACGTTTGACGTTAAAAGTAACTATTGATTGCAAATTAAAATTGTTCAATTGGACCGAAAAACTTCATTGAAAAACAGAGCAGCAATTAATATTATATATTTTAAAATGCACTTGGCAGCAATATACTGACTATATTCAAATTCAAATGAAATAGTTTTTCCTCTAGCAACTGTTCAACATAAACTTTTGCAAACTGCAATACTTAAAGGCAATTTTATAGCTTTCAAATTTTTTGCTGTAAAATGATGTGGCCAAATTTTATTCTTTGAAAATTTACTTAATTCATCACGGATCAAAAAGAAAATATGCCAATACCTTTCGATTCAGAAAATGTTTAAACACTTTTTGCAACTGGATTTGGGTCTTTAAAATTTTTAAAATGATTTAAGGCTTACTTTATAGTCAATGAAAGGATACATTTTTAATAAGGTGAATTTGTTTTTCTATTAAAACTTATTATCACTTAATTATTATAGTGAATCTAAGAAATCAACCTATCAACATAAAATATAGCTTTATTATAAATTATGTTCTGATAAGCGTTTGTTTTTGGGGGGGTTTTAAATTAAACAAAAGTGTGTTTAATTGAATAAACCTTTTCCTTGTTTTATTTAATTAATAAAATTCGCAATAAACGTGTCAATGCTTTTCTCAGGAAATACTCAACACTTTGCAAAAGTCATCGTAGTACCAAAGGTTCTTTCAATAAAAGTGGGATTTCTATAAACGTTCCTAAAATGAAACACGCACCTTGTTTTATCTACCTCACCTAAGGCATCTTTAACTTCAACCCCTGTTGTGGCTGGCAATTTATTTATTTATTTATATCAAATGGCGTTTTGATAGTTATCATCAGCCCTTTAGTTGACCTCAGGCTTCACAGTGAGGAAGGAGCATCAAAGTGGAAAAAAAGTCGAGAGAGTGCTTCAAAGACGAAGGTAGAAAAGGTGAAGTGAGTACTGTGAATTAGTCGGATATGCATACAATGGGGTGAGGGTAGTTGGAAGTCAGAAGTCAACTGCCAGTTAATAGACTTTTTTGCCGTATTAATATACGTTGCCCAGGGTGCACCACGAGGAGGTAAGTCTATCGCAAGTCTATCTATGTCAATGATGCCATGAAGTTGTACCAAGGTGAAGGTGCCAAAGTAAAATTTTGGAAGCTCTCTCACAATTAGATTCGTTCCTCCAAGACATTCATTTCAGTCTAGTATGTCCAACTTACAATAAATTTAGATCATCAAAAATAAATATGCTGCCTAGAGCAAATTTATTAAGGTCCATTCACTATCGTCTCGGATGGAGCTTTCTAAGTGCGTATCAAGATCCGTTTTCTAAAATGCAGAGAGCAGTGCGGTCATAGTCGTTCTAAACTAAAGCACGTGATAAAAGAAGGTATCATGAGGAAATTGGTTGCACTTAACGATGTAAAATGTTGTACGCAGTACTTTTAAGACTTCAATTTGTTGTCATCAGAATTTCGTATGCTCCCAAAATAAGGCCCATTGGTTTTATATTGATTTCGGCCTTGCTAGATATAACTAAGGAATCTCTTACCCAAGTTAAGTGAGCTCGTGTTAAAAATGACCAATTTAGTCAATAAGAACGGTCACTCGATATCAAGGCGTATTTAAAGCTATCTTGTCCAAAACTGACCCCAAATAACTTATATTCGGTTTGTACACTTTTGTTTTGCTGGAAATATTTTCCACACTCTCTTCCCATCTAAGTTAGTTGTCATTAGAGGGGAAATAACAGTGGGAAATGTTCACCAATCACCCGAGCATAGGTAGTGAATAACACATCTTTACGCTGTCAAAATCATTGCGTCATCACATATAGCTCAGTTCTCCATATGCAATCGTATACCTCTGGTAACCATGGTCAAGCATCTTATTGATGTCATTCTATATGCCTGCCAGGATCTGGGGAAAGTTACAAGGTGGGCACATCGTTAAATGTATAAACTTACAAAAAGATTTGAGCAGAAGAAATTAACGCTAGTTATTTAAAAATGTGCACACAATGAGTTATAATTATTTCTGATATATGTTTAATCTACGATCCTTGTCTTGAGTAATTCTTGATTAAATCTACTTAGTATTTCTGTATTTTTGATATCTCAGTGTTCAGTTATTGAATAATACATCGACAAATCTTATTTTTATCATTTGCACTTGATTATCTTCTTTCGGTTCTTATTTAACTATCTCGAGCAATTGGCTTTAAAAGGCTATAGGTAAATTTCAACAGTATTTAATTTATATTCTTGATATTCGAAAACCCAAGAATCACTAAACCTCCAGTTGTTAAAATATAACTGGTGCCTAACAGGGAAGGCTTTTAATAAAAAAATTGATGAACATATATTATGATGTTTAAATTAGATGCTTAAGTCAAGGTTCATTTTGTGATTAAATGGAAGCACTATATAGATTAAATATAAATGAGTTAAAAATTAGTCAAATAAACGTTTAACATTTAGTCTTAAATTTCATCAATCCGATTTAGATCATAAGTCGAGTTGGTACTGGTTAAGTCTGAATTTATTTCTTGACCAAACAGACGTACCAGTTTCAATCATTTGCTAGACAGATTCCTAAGGGCACCCATTTAAAGATTGTAATCTGATTTCTCTACTTTGTTCAAGCAACCTGTTTTATTAATCTTTCTCCTTTGTGATATTATTTCTGGTATAGAATTGTCTTTTCTATTTTTTTCGATCTTCTTTATTCTTATTTTAGAAAAATAAGTTAGATACAACTAACCATTAAAAGCGTCCCTTATTTATTTAAGGCCAGATATTACATTCCAGTTAATACAGCTTCGTTGATTCAAAATTTAGAATTTCATACTTTCATTTAGCACTTTTGATAGAGCAATACTTAAAAATATATCCATTTCAGCCTTAAGTTTTCTTATTACTTTGAAATCCATACTGTTAAGCTTATAAATTTGGAAATGATTGACATTAATTGCTTCGAACCATTCAGTCAGTTGGTGAGGGCTTTTAAAGTCCACGAAAATTCCAGAGAGGATTTTCAAAATTTTTTTCACAAAAAAGAGATAGTGACGTGCTTTTCAAGATACATTTTTCTTGTAATCACTCCAGTTTGAGTCTAACTAAATTCACCGTATTACGCCAATATCGGTTGTACGATTTTAGTCAGTTCACTAATAACACTTATAAATCATGTTTAATTTAGTCTTGATTCCATTTATTAAATATTAATTTAGTTCAAAATAGTGGGCATTGAACATGCAACGAAAAATATATATGGCATTAATGATATAGTAGGCAGACAATAGCTTTCTATCTGTAGGGCATTAATCTTTAGTTGATACTGGATTTCAAGCCTTTATCCTTTTAAAACAATGCATGACAGAAAGTTTAAGATGCATACTTTTTAATAAACAATAAATATCAAATTAGCTTTGAATTAGGTTAATTACTGCAACAAGAGGCATGACGGCTTACAGACTCAAGGAAGAGTTTATACTGAATTTGAATGCGGAAAATTCAAATTCAAAAGATTGGCGATATGCGGAAATAAATTCGTAAATATAGATTATTGGAGCATTTTTTCAAATTTTCTGTCTATATCTTGCATCATTGAACATTCCACCTGCCGGTTTCCTTTGACTGTGCAAAAAGACAATAATTTAAGGTTATTGAAAAGCCTAAACAGGAGTCTTATCTTCTATTTGAGCCAATGCCAAAATGACTCGGAACTGCTTGCAAAGTAAAGAAATAGTTGAATTGACAATCTTGGATTTATTTTGAATTCTCTACCTCTATTCTGACCACCTGTTATTGAACTTTTAGTGACAATTTGAAGCGTTTAGCTGCTTACGGCTGGTGAAATTAGTACATTTGCGTGTTTACGTAGTTAATGACCATAAAATCCTTTTGTTCTAAAAATAGTCCCACTGAAGTTATTCAGATCTTCTAATATATATTTTTGATAAGTAGTAAATGAATACATATTGCTTTACATTGTATTTATAAAATTTTCATTTAGAAAATTAATCAATAAAGTTTAGTATTAAATTTAAAAACAGTTTGACATTTCAATAAATGTGCAATTCATGCTTTCATCATTAAACTTCATAGTTCAACTAATTTTATGACAAGACATCGTATTGCCAACAACGCTTGAGATAATTACATTGATTCAGATTAATAAAAGTAAAGCTCGATTTTCATTATTTAATATATAGGTATTAGTCAATATTTGAAATTATTAGATATGCCGGTGTGCATTGTTCGAATTTCATATTTTATTTATGAACTGAACTTATAAATTAAATGCAATAATTATTGTGAGTAATTCCGTATAAATTACAGAAGACCAAAAAGAGTTTTGCAATAAAATTTGAAATTAGCTTTTAATAAAATGATTAAATTAATAAATAAATGATCTATGTACTAGTTGGAAAAATAAATCACGAGCGAAAACTTTATATGATTAGTGACAATTTTCAGTGATTACTAAGTTGAAATAATGACATTCGCTTTACTGTTTTAAAGATAAATTCTCATTATCTAAACATGTAGCTTCAATGGACCATTGGATCAATTCAATTCAATTTTATAAAGATAAAAATATATAAGTCAACAGATCATATAATATAAATACAAATATACATATAGATATATAAATATTTACAACCTCGTATGTACCCATTAAAACAAAAATAGTCCAACTTCAGTTGATCAAAAATTAATGCTTCATTACATTGTGAAATCACTCAGCAACTTGTCCAAATTACTGGAAAATTGAAAAATCACCATCAAATGGCACTTCCATTATCGCCGGAGGAAATGACATTTAAGATAAGGCCTTTGTTCTCTAGCACGGGGCTATGCGGCAGTCACAATCCCTCGTTCAATTGGTCTCAGCAAATAATCATCTCGTTTACAGGTGAAGACCTTCTTCAATCCATACCGAAAGTGCTTTGATGTTAACAAGTAGATGATAAAGTTTGCATAGGTATCCGTAACAATCAAGAATCTAAGAGCCTTGTAAACGGTTAACTTAGCTTCTGGGGATATGTGCTTTTCCAGCACCACGGCAAAGAATATTGGAGCCTCGCAAACAATAAAAATACCAATTATAAGAAGTATCGCTCGCGTAGCTCTCACATGCTTTGACAAATGATAGGACTTTTTCTTTTTCTTTTGCTGATAGACGCAAGATATAATCTTTCCATCAGAATTTTTTGGTTCAGAGGAGTTCTTTCGTACAATTTGTGAGCTCCGTAGAAGAGTTATCATCATAAAAATTGTCGCAAGAGAAACGAGGAATATGGGAATAGCTGACTGATATGCAAAGAACACCTTTTCGTTAATAATTTGCAATTGAGTTACATTGATTTCAGGATATTGGAGTAATCCATCGAGATTTGTACAAACGATCACAGGTCTAAATAACAGTCTTAAAAAGGAAAGGACCATTCCAACAAAAATAAGTATAGAAATATAAATTATTTGGCGATTTGGACTGAAAATATGGGTATTTACACGATGGGCAACTGGACGAGTTATAACTTCACATCTGGCAAATGCAATTAATGTAACTGCCCAATTTCGTGAGCAGATAGCGTTGTTGAGTAGACCGAACAATAAGAAGGAACATATAAATCCGGCAAATGTCCTGTGCTTAGGCATTCCAAAACCCTCCCATGCCTTATTAATAAAAATTGAGCAGTTAAGCCACATTTCTATTGAGGTAAGAACAATGACACTTTTTCGTAAGGATCCAAATCGTCTGGAATGGCATAACACTACTATTGCTATAACTTCCAAAATGAGAGCAATCATGGAGAAAATGAGCAAAGCGACAGGCATGAAGGAAAATAATTCACCATGTTTAGTTGTTGTTGCAACTGGAGGGGTAACTAGGCAGTTATTTCTATATGTGACAAAGGTCATGATTAGAGCATTTCTAAGGTAAAATATGAAAAGGTTGGACGTGGTAGAAAAATATGACCAATAAGACTTGAGCCATAGTTTGATTGGTTGGTACAAATCTTTTGGAAATTACGTTTCCCCTTGGTAAGTGCAACAAAAATTTTTACTTAATTTTCGAGCAGGAAAATTTGACTATAAATTCTAAAAGAAAATGAGAAAACGAGCTCAATTTTTGCATTTAGCTAGTATTACGTTCCTATTTAAAATAAAGTCCATGCATATTTGGAAATATTACTAATTCATTATTGATGCAATTCTAATGTGTTCGCGTAATTTTACCGGATTGAAATAGTTTTGATTTTGCCATAGTAACTTAGATAAAAAATTCCACAAATATTTTTAAATTTGATTTCTTAATATTGATAATGATAAACGATGCCTAATACGGTAGCATACAATTTCGCATATCTTACTCATTCACCTTAAACACTACTTCTGAAGTACTAATCTTTTGACAAATTTACCATAATTATTAAATGAGAAATTCGTTTAAATTTTTTGATGCGAAATAAATCAAAATATCATTGGTTCTTAATCTGTTATGGGAAAAATATGACATTCAATAAATATAATAATAATATAAAGTCATATATAAAAAGCTATCCACTAATATTTACTTTAAAATTTTATAAACATTGTACTTTATTTACCATGCTGTATTTACTACCTTTGTATTTCATTTAAACAGATTTTATTTATCGATTTTGTTTAAGCTTGATGATGCTTAAGTGACTTCCACTAAGCTCTGAAACCCAAAAACATTAAGTTGTCCATAAAAAACATTTCGTTATTTACCAGGAAACCCACTTGTTCTACCAGACACACCCGAAATTCTAATTTTTATCACCTGGCTGATAAATTTTGGACACTGGATTTATCAAATTTTAATTGGATCCTTCGAGTTCGAAGCAAACGGTGAAACCTTTTAGCCTAAGTTTTTGATGCTAGGAATAACGTATAATAATCATTAGCCGTAATCGAAAAATTCCACATTCAAGACAAAGCATGGCAAATATATTTATTCTGATTTATTTTAATCAGCTTCTAAAACAAACTCCAAAACTTTCAATACAGGTTCATGGATATTTGCGGCTAAAAGGGTACAAGTGAGATTGGCTTATAATTAAGATGGGAAGTTAACCAAAATATGCAACGCAATACGTAAATGAATAAAATAAGAAACAGATAATAAATTCCTATGGTAGTTCTAGAAGGAGTCTTTTTTCCAGTGGTCAACACCACTTTCAACTTTTGAAACGCCTAGATCTCTTTTCTTTACTCCCTCAAAATACAAACCTGACTACACCAATCTTAGACATGCTTACCTCAGATAAGATGACCTTACCACTATCTTTCAAGAGTTGCTTATCGTTTCACACCTTCAAATGGTTCTTACTAAGTGTTTTAAAGGGCGTTTGTATGAATTTACGTTTTATAAGAGCTAAAATTGGTTCGCCTGGTCTAAAACAAAATGTTAACGTTCACCAGCAGACTTCTGTAGTTAGGACTCATTGCCTTTGCCCCTCCCCTCTCAACGTCGTCTTATTCTCCACTAAGATAACAAGTCTTGAAGTCCATTCAGGTTGGATGAAGAGGCTTAAAGTCAACTTCGTGTCAATGGTATGATCAGTGGGAGAGCTGACTGGAAAACTCCGAGATCGCAAGAGAAGCATCAGAGGCGAAATCAGTCGTGATTGAATGTATTTTACGCCAATTTATTTAAATTTAAGTCCTGGCTAAATAATTTTTTCTTGAATATAAGTTACTTATTATACCTACAATTTTATACGGGTTCCCTCCCATACGATTCAATGTACTTTGTTTTCTAACCTCAAATTTTCTGTGCTTGAAGGCATGAAAAAAAGAAATTAAAACTAATTTTCTATACGTGCGTTATTACGAGCAGATAATTTCAAAGATAAATGTTTGAACAGTATGATTGGCTTATTTTCGGTTAAAGAGCAATTTATAAATTCTTATGTGCAATAAAATCTGTGATAAGATGCAACATTTTCATTGGTTAATGCACTAGCGCTATTGAGAGGAACTTTATTCACCCCCAATTAAAAATAAAACGAGAAAAGAATGCCAAGCTTTTAAGATACCTGTTTCTAAAAGTCTCTTGATGTTGTGATAGGAAGTAAAATTAAAGCATTATGTCTTCATTATGATAGTGATGAAAAATGTCTTTCTTCAAATAACTTCGTAAGTGCGACATTTTAAGTGGTCTGAGGTAATAAATCATTTGTGCATTGTGTCATTTTATATTTCCCAATGTTCCAGGGTTACCAGTAATTAAGGCTTTCAAATGAAAACTAATCACCATTTGCAGAAAATGTCAAAATCAACTTTGCTTGGAGCCAGTCCCCCTACCCTCACGGACATTGACAGCTATCACACATACGTGACAGCACTTTGCATTTCATTTCAGCATAAAGGAAATCCCTAGTGCTTCTCAATGAGCTATACTGCTTAATGTAATTCCCCCCCCCCCAGTGTGAGCTTAAAAGTCTGAAAATTATTGGCAATTTATCAAATGTTAATATGAAATGGAAATACGCTGACAGGAAAAGATTTATTGAATATGGAAAGAAAATGACCATAATCAATCATGATAACTTAGTTCATTAGCAGCAGTCATCAAACTGTAGCCTGTTAATCATTTTATATGTGCCTGTTAAGGTCTCTTGAAATATATGTAATTTAATTTTAACGTTGTAGAAAATGTAGACATTAAGCACTTTTCAGGTGTCCTTCAGAATCCTTAGTCATATGATAGAGAATCCAGTGTTTTAGTTCCATAGTACTCCTGGTCTATGAAAAGAAGAAATCATCAATGGCACGGCATGGGTTTGATTTCTGTTATTCAATCCTGTAAAAAGGCCTTAATTGCTTTTATAGCAAACGCTTAACCAATTAATAATGGATATGCGATTTACTCACTTTCAGTGATTGTCTGGAAGTATTTTAACTTAAGGTGACTTTAACTTCATAAAAATGGTGAAATTATATTTTGGACGGATTAGATTAACCCTTTTCATATGATTTCTATGTAAGATATCCCAGTTCAAGAGGCACGAATGAGTTGTTTTAATTGAAGCCTACATATGATAAACAAATTCTTATGTTTCGTAATGTTGAACTATTGCTATATAAGGTAAATGAAATTCATCCCTGTGCCTTAACGTAAATCCGTCCCTAGGCAGCCGTAAATCCCGACATCTAATCCGTAAATCAGATGACCATCTAACTGGTGGTAATTAAGCAAATTTGCCTCTCACCAGACCCACATACTAGCACTTAACAAGCTCCCACTGACTTGTTTTCTAAACATCCTCCCTTCGGGACAAGGACACTCTAAGCAACGCGTTTTTTTTTATTAAACAGGTGACCAATTTTGCTTTCTTCACTTAGTTGGTCTTTGATGGAAAACATTTAACGATTTGAGTCTGTAGATGCAAAAATCGTTTCAGGTCTCGTTTTGTATGGTTGATTCTATCATCTCATAGGGCATTTCAAAAGAGTTTGTACGTCTATTTCTACTAAGTTGGGCTTTAAATTTTCAAATTAATTTTTCTTAAACCTGCTACCAAGCATCAACTCTTCAAACCAACGGTTTTCACTTTGTCGGGATATTAATTTTAAGTTAACTTTTGATAGTTTGTCCGAAAGAAGAAGAGAGCCACTTTTGTACGAGCAAAGTGGAATGAGTGAAATACAGTTCTTGAATATATTTTTTGTGACGGTAAAGAAGTGACACAAAGGAAACCGTTTACTCCAAATGTAAATCTAAATACTCATGCACATATATGAGAAAGTTTTTTGGAAAGGAAAATTGTACTTGGGCTATCGAGGAACATTGCTCAAGTAAAATAGAGTAAAATTTTATATGTAGCCTCATAAAAAAGTTATTTTTTTGCTGAAATTTTGACTTGTCTGTGGGAGTTAAAGTAGTCTAAAGGAAGGCGGTTGTTCAGTGATGGAGTTTAAAATTGTGTTTTGGAGGGGATAAACAGATAGACGCCTTACCGACACTGCGTCAACCACTTCGCATTTTAAGTTTTAATTAATAAATGATAACGAGCAATCAGGCAGCATTAAATAGCAAAATAAGCATACCGTCAGGGGGTTTTGAGTTTGTGAGAAATCGCGAGACTTAAACGAGAAAGATGAAATCAGCACGTTAATCAAAATCTTGATCAACTGCTTTTGATCACGTCGATTTTTAACCATGTGCTTATTCCTTTGGCAGCATTTGACCAAAGGGGGGGGGTTGTTGGAATGAACAAAGATATCTAATTTATTGCCCCTTTTCGTAGAAGTTTTTATAGTCCTTGGCACAACATTGGACCAATTATATTCTTGCTTTGAAACCACAAGTAATTGAGAGGCTAAGGTTTGTCTCAAGGTAGTCAAAACTCAAGCTATTTATTTTTATGTTAAATGATCTTGCAAACCATTAGTAATTTACTCAACTAGGCTTTCATGACTGGCGTTTAATTTTCAAAAAAACATTTTCTCTGAATGATTGATTACTTCAATTCTTGTCATGTTCATTTGATTAACTCATTCCACGTTACTAAGAAATTACACTTAATAAATTTATGAATTAGCAAAATAAATTTTTTTCTTTGTTTTTATTTTCAGTCATCATCTATTACTGAACTGTCAACTTTACAAATTCATCACTTTCAACGCAGTCTCCCTGTTTCGTTAGTTGATTTAAAGGCAGTGGAATCACTTTGATTCTGTTTTAGTTTTATCATTTTAAAGTTTCATTTCATGACAGTAGCAACCGTTTTTTTTTATTTCAACATGAATTAAAAAAGTCTACTGTGTCCTTACGTGTTAGTTATTCCCCAAAAGGAATTGGCAAACCATTTTTTTCATTTTATTTACAGAGGGGAAAATTCTCGTGCAGTAACTAGAAAGCGGTGAAACTAGAAAATTAATGGAGAATT